GCCTTGGGCTTGGCGTGTGGAGGGGTTTTGTTGATGTGCCACCAAGAGGGGTATCACCCCACTTCAGGAGCTGCGGGATCATTCCCTTAGTGCTGTTCCACCCGGCAGGAGGAAGGGGAGGAGCTGGATCCAGCTCACCTGCCCTGCTGGAGAGGCAACAGCAGGGTCTGGGCAGGGAYAGTGCCGTGTACTGAGCTGTGGCAATGCTACTCCAGGAGCAGAGAGCACCCAGAACACAAAAACAGGAGAAGGAAGAGGCTGGAAAATGACAGCACTTTCACCCATCCAAAGGCCAGGAGTTACACCCAGCCAGCAAACATGTAGCTGCCTGAAAACCCATAAACCCCAACAAAAATTGTAAACATCAATAAAGCTGTGGTGCATTCCTGATGGGCTTTGAGGGATTTGATAACAGATTATGTTTCTGAGATGTTTACCAACCTGGAAAGACTGAAAATATTCAATTACTGGCAAGGAGAGCTGAGATTTGCTTACAGTCAAACTCCTGCCTCCAGGATCTCTGTGGGTGCCAGCAGTGAGCAGAGCTGCAGGAACAGTGGCCTAAGTACCCCTGCTGTCAGCGTGCATCTTTCACTGGATAATTAAGCATTGCAGGTTTAACTTTGGGGCTGGCAGGGTGGTTTTCGCTTCTGTAGGGTGGATCCCATGGCCTGTTTCTCAGTCACAGYCCACATTTGCCAGGGAGGGCTGCAGAGCTCGTGGCTGTGGATTTTCCATCTTTCTRCAATGCCATCACTCAGTCACAGTCGGGAGAGGGGTGGAAATGCTTTGGCATGATTTTTATCAGCTTAGCTTTTTGAGTGAACATTGTGAAGGGCCAGTGGGCTCACACCTGTGGCAACCTGGCATTCCCTGTGACWTCTCTGACTTTCTCACCTCATTTCAGTGTGAGCCCGGGGTGCCAAGGCTGTGAATTTACACCCTTGTATTTACCTGAAACCTCACTACCTTCCTCAAAACCTGTGAAAAATTAACGGGGTGGTGAAGTAGCCTGCGGCAGGGACAATGTGATGTGTAAGGCCAACATCTCCTTGTGAATATTCCCTCCTGACCCCCAGCACCCATCCCGAATGTCCCTCCTGTCCCCAGCACCAGGGCTGGGGTAGCTCAGGACTCCATGGCACAAGCAGCTGAAGCCCCCGGACCCCCCTCCCTGGCCACTCCCGATGCCAGGGGCTCCGGGCTGCCCGTGCCCTCCCGTTTTCCTRACGGAGCCCATCGATCCCCGCTGCTCCGTGTCCACCCCAGCCACCCCGAACGGCAGCTGGTGCTACTGAGACAAATTGCTTTTCTCACACTTTTTCCCAAACACRGAATCCCAGATAAGTTTCGGTTGGAAGAGACTTCCATGGCCCTCGAGTCCRAGCTATGCCCAATTCCCCATCTTGTCTCCAGCCCAGAGCACTGAGTGCCACCTCCAGGCGTTTCTTGGACACCTTTAGGGATGGACATTCCAAACCTCCCTGGGCAGCCCCTGCCAAGGCCTGACCGCCCTTTCCATGGAGAAATTCCTGCTGATGTCCCCCCTGACACGATGCAGAGAGGCACCCCAGCCAGCCAGTCCCGCCAGTCCCTTCCTGAGGGACAGATCCTCCAAAAGGGGCAGCTGCCGCTCCCACAGCCAGTGAAGCTCCTGCGCGCTTAGCGCGGCCCGGGACACGGGACACGGACACGGCTCAGTCCGACTCACCCTGCCCAGACAGGGCTCGGGACACGGACACGGCTCAGTCCGACTCACGCTGGCCGGACCATAGAGGAGGCGGGGCCAAGGGCGGTGGTGATGGTTCTGAGGCACAGACGGTGTTGATTGGGTGGGGCGGGGTTAAGGGCGGGGCCGGGGGCAGGAGCAGGGCCAAGGACGGTGCTGATTGGGTGGAGCGGGGTTAAGGGCGGGGCTAAGGGCAGGAGCAGGGCCAAGGACGGTGCTGATTGGGTGGGGCGGGGTTAAGGGCGGGGCCGAGGGCAGGAGCGGGGCCAAGGACGGTGCTGATTGGGTGGAGCGGGCTCGGGGGCGGGGCCAGGGGCGGTGCGGCCGGGGCCGGGCGGAGCGTGCGCAGTGTAGAGCGGTGAGTGGTGGGGGGGTCGGGGCAGGGAGCTCTTGTGGGGCCTGGTGACGGTCGGGCCGGGACTCTGGGTCGGGGACCGGGGTGCAGGACCGAGCCCTGCTCCTGGCCCCACGGGCACGGGTTACCACCTCCCCTGCGCTGCCCTCGTTCGAGCGGAGCCGGCGGTGAGGCCTTGCCGGGGTGGGAGCTGCCCAGCCCCGCTTCGCCTCAGAGCGGCCGTGCCCGGGCCGTGAGGGCTGCCGCCTCTCCGACTCCGGGGGCTCGGGCAGGGCTGGCAGGACAGGCAGCTGCTGGGGCTGGAGTGTTGTAGCAGTGACCGAAAGCGCGGGCCTTGTGACGGGCACTTAAGGCACACAGTGGGGGCAGGACAGGGATCCCTTACACTGAGGGGTTTTAAACACAAATATTTACACATAAGTTTCCGCCAACGGGCATAGTTTGCATTCTGCTTGGAGCATGAGTCCAGGCTGGGTGGCYTCTGGCTTCCTGGCTGCCGAGGCAGATGTGGAATAAAAACGTGCTGGGRCCAATGGAGTAACTCTGGGATATTAAAATGGAATTTTCTTAAGGATGTGCGCTTCATGACACAGGGTCTGAATTTTAAAACTCTTAATTATTTTGGTACAAGCCTGCATATGGCTCTCTGGCTGGAGAACTGCTAAAATGACACGTCCCAAGGCCAGGAAAGAATGCTGAGCAAATGAGATTTTGTATGTGAACACTATTTGGAAAGGTGCCWTAAAATGTTTGAGTTCAGCGGTTGATTAACACTTGTGTTAGGAGTATTAGGAGTGATCTTTGACAGAGCACTGGCACTGCCTGCCTTCATGAGGGTCTCGGTTTAAACCAACATGTTCTGTAGACACAATTTCTTAGGGCCAAGTTGTTTATTCTGCAGTGTTTTTCTGCTGGAACTAACCCAGTCCAAGTGTGGCGCAGAGGCAGAGCTGACTGCGCTGGTATTGCTCAGTTTGCCTGCCAAAGGAGGATAATCTGCAGAGGCATTTCTGTGGTGGAGCTGTCTGTGGAAGAGGCTGCTCTGTGCACAACCTCGGCAGGAGCCTTTTAAGTGCAGATAAGTCTCCAGAGGACGTTAGAAGACGATGACACACCCTGTCATTTACCGAACGAGCTGCYGCAGTGTTCCTGCTCCCTGTGATCTTTTGAATTCATTTGTTCTCTGGGAGTAGTATTGTTAAGGGATGGATTTATATTTTTCTCTGTTCTCTTTCCCCCAACSCTGCCTTAAAATGACCCAGACTGGTCCACTTGGTTTTTTTCAGCAGCCTCTAGAGCGTTTCTAGGGTAGAAGTATCCCAAATATTGTCCCAGAAACTTCAGTGTAGGAGTCCAGGTAACAGAGGTGAGAGGAGTGCTGCTAGTTCCTGGAGGCTGCTCTCTGTGTGACCATGTATTTACCAGATTTGAAGGGATGCAGATATGATCATTTGAAAGAAAACAGCTGGAAACAATTCCAGATGAGTTGACAGAACAGCCCCTGAGACCACAGTGCTGTCCGTGTCCTGAAGCAGCACCAGAGCAGTGCTGGTGCTACTGCCACCACCTCCTCCCTGTTTACAGTGGAGAACTTCTTTAGCMTGAGCAATAAAACACCTGGAAAAGTCTCCAGCAGCCCCAAACCTCTCTGTCTGCTCCTGCTTGGGTTGGGCAGGTGGGGTTGAAAGCACGGCAGCCATACCTTGAGAGTTTGCAAGGCAGTGGATTATTGTGATAAATTTAGGGATAATAGTCAGCCTTTCTATGTGCTAATCCTCTCTGCTATTGACTCCCTCCGTGGCTTTTATAACCCACCTCAGTTCTTAAACACTCAGTGTTCTCCTCTGAGAAATAACGCTCAACTTGGGCTTGTGAGGGAGGTGAATCAGCTTTAATTAAGATTTGTCGAGTGCTTTGTTGATAAGTTCTCAATAGCTGGTTGCTATTTTCTATGAACACGCAGATATTCTTAGCACCTGAAGTGAGAAGTGACACAACACTGGGGATCTCTGGGAAGCAGCACCTGCTCACAAAGGCTTTGTCAAATCCATTCTGGCTGCGGTTCATGAGGCAGCTCAGCAAAACCCCAAATCCCTCTGAGACTCTGGGAATCTAGAGTGTTCCTGAGAGTTAAGCCCTGCTTTTGCATGAGATTTGTAGCTCTTGCCCCTTTGCTGGATTTCACTGGAGCTGCTGGTTGGGTTTGGTGCAGCTGTGTACTGGTGGCATCAGCTGCTTGTCACCTGCTTTGAAGCACTTTGTGCTTTCAACAGCTTTCAACAGCTGTCCCCCTCAAATTGGGTAGGGAGGGCAGTCCAGAGGTCRGTGGGGCTGTGTGGGGTGAGATGGGAGGAGGGAAGCTGGGAAGCCATGCCCTTCCCCAGGCAGTGTCCATTCCATGCTGGATTCTCCACTGCAGCAGTGAGGTGGCAAAGGAAGCTTGGAGAGCTTAGTTTGTGAAAGACAAGGAAGGCGTGAATGGAAATGGTTACAGTGTGCTCGGTGTGCGCTGTGTGTGGGTGCCCCTCAGCAGGATGAGGAGYTCTGTTGTATTTTGGGGAAGAGAAGGCTGTTCATTTGGCTCTGTCACTGCTGTAGGAGTAGCCAGATGGAGGATAAGAAAATGAAATAGTGGGCTGGAACAACCTCCTTGTCCATGGCCCTGTCCTGAGCCAGGTGAGAGATATTTGGCACCAGGCTGGACAGTGGTGGATGGTAGAGCAGATCTGGACAGGGGCCAATTCCCACTGGGCCTTGATGGAATCCCACTCTCAGAGAGCYTGACAGCTCATCTAACTACCCTTGCAGCAGAGTGAGCAGCCAGTTTGTCCCTTCCCTTCATAGAATKGGGACCCCCATGGTTGGCTGTCCTTTTAAGTAAGCCCTGTTAAACTCTTGAGAGGTGGTGCCAGCCCTGGAGGGAGCAGGGCTGGAGAAACCCCTCCACARCTGGTATGGGGCAGCATGTTCAACTCTGCTGACTGCTCTGCTGGTTGCCCAGACCCTCTGGTTTGTGTGTGACTCAGAGGTGATACTCAGCACAGAGCCCAGAATTGGGTATTTTATGTTCCTAGATCACAGAGTGATGTTTAGCTCTCTGAAGCAGTGGTGTCACAGCACTGGCATTTTTGTCTGGCCCYCGGTTTTCCTCAGTGTTTCCTCTGTCTGGAGAGCTTTCCCCTGGACTCTGTTTGTGCGCTTGATCTCTGTGCTGTTTCCAAGTGTGGTTCTTTGCATTGTTCTCATTGCTTTTCTTTCTATTGATTTGTGGGTGTTTTGGGAACTTTTCTTCAGTTTATCAATTCCGATCATGACCTCCAGAGTGCTTCCAGCTCTTAACTCCTGGGCATCCTTTCAGGTTTTACAAAAGTGCTTTTCTCTTTCGTTGTTCAGGCCATTAATGGAAAGGATGAACAGAAGCAGACCTGGGCTGAGCTCCCAGGGCCCATACACAAGGATTGCTCCTGTGGTGACAGGGAATTGCTGATAGCTACTCCTCAAGTATGTGGGGTTGAGTTGCTTTAGTTGGTCTTTTTTTTCTTCATTAGTAATGAGCACTGGGCCTCATTAAGGTGAGCTCGCCCAGCCCCAGCTCCTGTGGCTTTTGAAAGCATCAGATGGATAGAGTGAAAAGCCTGTTTTGTGCTGGTCAGAGGTGTGATGGGCCAGGCTCTGTAGTGGGGGATTTGTGTTCTCTTTCTGAAGGCTTAGGTGATTTTTAAGAGCTTTCATGAACTTCATTTACCTGGGGCYTCTTGGCAGCACTTGCTGGGACTGGCATGGCTCTGAGGCAAGCCTCAGCCCTTGCTTTCCACTCTGAGCTCCCTAAGCCTCAGTGGGGTGTGCATGGGGGAAGYTGTATCCAGCATGTCCTGCTCCCCTTTGTGTCTCCATTGGTCTCTCCCCAGTGAGAGTTGGGCTTGTTTGTATGTGACTGAGGTAGCAAAAATACATTTTTCTACTTGAGCAATTCCAAGTTCCTTTTGTGGTTGCTTTTCTCTGGAAAAAATAAAATTACTAGCTCTGGAGAAATTAATGACACTCATTTTTATCCCTAAATAGTGTGTCACCGTGGGAGTGGTTGCAGGATACCTCATTGCACCAGGGCTCTGTCATCACCTCAGTGCCAACATCATTTCAGGAAGAGGAGTTRCTTGAGCTGAAACAGATTTCACTGGAGCAAACATCAAGTGCCTAAATAGGACCAGCTCTACCACCCTGAGTTCTGTGAGTACTTCATGCTGGGTTCAGCTGTACCAATTTTAAGAACTGGTCCTTGTCGTGGTTTGACRCTGGCCAAACGCCAGACACCAACAGCAGCCGCTCACTCGCTCTCTCCTGGCATTGCTGGGCAGAGGAGGAAAATAAAAAGTAACAAAAGGGTTATGAGTGTAGATAAGGATTGGGAGAAAACATCCAAGGGCAAAACAGGCTCAGCTTAGGAACAGAAAGTGAATTTATTACCAACAAAGTCAGAGGAGGATAATGAGAAGTAAAATAAGTCCTTAAAGACAACTTCTTTACCCCCAACCCCTCCTTCCCACTGACAGCGCAGGGAGCAGGGCATGGGGTTTTTGGTCAGTTTGTCACCAAGATCTTCTTCCACTGCTCTGGGAGAGGAGTCCTTCCCCTGCTGCACCATGAGGTCCCTCCCATGGGAGASAGCTCTCTGTGAACCTCTCTGGCGTGGATCCATCTCATGGTCAGCAGTCCTCCCCAAACTGGTGCACTGTGGGATCCCTCGTCCATAGGGTCAGTCCTTAAAGGACAGGCTGCTCCAGTCTGGGAGCAGAGCCCCCTCTCTCCACTGGGACTCCCACAGCATCACAGCCTCCTCCAGACATCCACCTCCTTCAGCGTGGGCACCTCCCCCATGGGTTACAGGTGGATCTCTTTATCCCTCGTGAACCACCCCCCCTGCCCCCGAGGCAGGGGCACAGCTGCCTCGCCATGGTCATCACTAGAGGCTGCAGAGAAATCTCAGCTCCAGTGCCTGGAGCACATCTGCCCCTCCTTCTCCACTGCCCTTGGTGTTTCCATRTTGTTTCCCTCTCATGTTCTCACCTCTTCCCCATCTCTGGCTAGAAAAAATGGTGTCTCCTTTGTTTTGGTTTTCTTCTTGAATATGTTTTCACAGAGTCGTAACCAACATCTTTAATTGGCCCAACCCTGGCCAGTAACATGTCCATCTTCAGAGCCATCAGAGATTGACTCTGCTGGACATGGTGGAAGCTTCTGGCAGCTTCTCACAGAAGCCACGTCTGTGGCCCCTGCTACCAAAAATCAGGCCAAGCAAACTCAACACCGTCCTTTTCTGAAGTGCTCTTCCAGCTGCTGTTCCATCTTTCTTTGCRCATTGCTGTAACTGTGGGGTGAAATTTGGGCCCCATAAATTTAAGAACAACACAGGATTCCTCTGTGGTGTTCATCTCTTCTTTCTCTCCAGGGYAGTAACTTGAGGTACCCAGCTGTTCACTCCAGTTGTGCTTCAGGGACACCATCAACAGGATGGAGGCACCGTGCTCTCTTTGTTCTCCTGTATTGGTCCATGGCTGATGGTAGAGTMGTAAAATCTGGGMATATTCTGAGCTGGAAGGCACCTACAGGCATCACTTAGTCCAACTCRGTGGGTGCCCTGACCAAATTTCAGTTCCAGGGGGAAAATTCAGTCTCCCTAACACATTCCTGTGGCTTCTGTGGATTCTTCCTTACTTTTCTCCAGGGAACTGTGTGCTGTAGTTAAATATGGATAGAAAAGTTGTGTTCCACYCTGGATTACAGCCGAATCTCAGTGGTGGATAAATTGCATCCCRAGTCTAGTTTGCAAAGCCCTTTGGGCTTCATTGCCTGCAAGAAGCTGTATTTTATTCTAGATGTGTGTTTGCAGATAATTCTATAGGATTTGCAGACAGCAGGTTGTAAGAGCCCTGATTATACTGGTTCCCTGTGCAGTCAGACTCTSCCCAAATAATTCAAGTGCCTGCTGCAGAGAGGGAAAGAAAGATGGAAGGATGATTTAGAAATCTCTGGAGTAGATGGGAAGAAGATTCATATGTTGATCTGAAGGAGATACCAAGCTACGTATATGCCTTTAAACATCTAAATAAAAGTCAGGATTTTTTTAATGGATGCCTACTTTAAACCCAAGTAATTCCTTTAACGAGAGATTTTAAAGGTTTAACTTAATTTTAGAATTTTTATTTCAAGCATACTTCCATAAAATCAACTTCTTTAATGCAGAATGCTTTAAYGTCTTCTGTGTTGGTACTCATTTGCAAGAAATCTCTGCACAGTTATTTCTTATGTACCAGTTAAATCTATCAGCCAACAGATGTCAAGTGTAGCAAAAATGCTATAATAATATTATGGTCTAATAATAGTTATAATGATTCTAATTACCTGGTGCAGCTTTAGAGAGAGGCAGATTCAGAAATGAGTGCAAAAGGAGGTGTTTAACCTTGAGCTGCAGCGCAGGGCACTTCCAAAGGTGTCTGTGCTGCACCCCACTCCTCCCTGTGGGACACCCCACTCCCTTTGTTTACTCCAGTAAGCTGGAAGCAGCAGCCTGGTCTGGTTTAAATGTTCAGACCTCATTYTTGCTGTGTTTGGAAGAGGAGAGGAGTGCTGGGAGCTGAGGATGAGCATGTTTCCTGGAATACCTGGGAGTGTGAAGCCTGCTCATTTTTAACCCCTTTGTGCCCTRGCTTTGGCACGCTCCCACTGCCTGAGGATTGTGGCACTCATGGATTGCTCCCACCTCGGGAAGGAGCCCCAGCGATGCCCATCCTTTATGCAAGTTGGTGGTGCTGCTCWTAAGTATCAGGGTAGGCTTTGCCAGAGCCTGGGAAGCACAAAGGCATAATGTCCTGATGGGAGAGCGTTTGGGGGTGTGCAGGTGAGTGGCTGTGAGTCGGAGTCCTTGATCCTGATGGAGTATTTGATGTGGGGGTGAGGTGAGCACTGGGCTGGTGCATGAGTGCTGTGCTTGCATTGCCCTCGGCAGTCTGGCCCCACAGAGCCTTGTGAGTCTCCTTCCCCAGCTGCTCCATGTGCCAGCTATGTTATATCACTCCCAATGCCCCTTTACCACCATATTTTCTCTTTAGGAAGGATCCTGGGCTGCATTTTTTTATTCCTGTGGTTTTTGCCTGTTGTTGTGTGCTTTTAGTGCCTTGGGGTACCAGTGCTCATTGTTGCTGTAAGACTGATAAGGCAAAGTGTAATGGATCCCCTCTTGCCACAGCTGCTCATTTTAGTCCTGTGACCGTGCACTGGTGAGGACTCCCTGATTCACAGAGCAGGAGCCTTTCCACAGAGGAAGCTCAGTGTAGGCTGCARGTTGACAGCTTTCGATGATTCTATGCTGAACCTTTTTCCTCTAAATAATACATTCACAGGCTGATGAGAACTGCAGGAACTTGTCTCTCAGTTGCTGGTCCCTGGCAAGGGCAGCAGCTGGGAATCTTCTATTGCTTTCTTCTRAAATTGATTCAGAGGTGCCATTGCAAGGTTTTCTTCATTTTCAGCCTGCCTGTAGGCTGACATGTTCTGCTTCTCTGGAAAGCCCTGCCTGCCAACACCTGCAGCACACTTTGTCCCAGGGCTTGTGCTGAGGAGGGCTCTGCCACCTTCAGCCTTGCCTCTGGGGGAGGTTCAGCCTTTCCTCTGGGCAGATTCAGCCTTTCCTCTGGGCAGGTTCAGCCTTTCCTCTGGGCAGATTCAGCCTTTCCTCTGGGCAGGTTCAGCCTTTCCTCTGGGGAGGTTCACAGCCTTTCCCTTGGGAAGGTTCAGCCTTTCCTCTGGGGAGGTTTGCCTTCTTTCTGGAGTCAGTGTGTGTGTGTTGGTGCATCACCATAGAGAGGAGGCCACAGGAGCTGCAGGGCACAGCCTTTTCCAGGCTCATGTGAAGAAGGATGCGGTAATGGGCTCCRCATATTTAGGGAAAATGATTTCTTGGAGTAAATAAATCGTCAAAGAACACTTGGCATCACCCCAGGTGCTATTAAGGAAAAGATCTCTTGAAGTCAGAGCTGTGAGGCTCATGCAATATTCACTTGCTTTGAACTCGCTGCTTTGCTGTGTTCCACACCAGGCAGTGCCACTGTACCCAACACTGACTCACTGACCCACTTGTGCTTTTACTTACCCTGAGATAACAAAGCTCCCGTTGCTTTTCTCCTCCCTGGGTATATGTTTCTCATCTTGCTGCAACAGCACCTTCCTGCATCCCTTTCCTTGGCCACTGAGTGTCCAGGCTTTCACTGTTTTGAGTGGTTACAAGGCTTCRCTTCCCATGACTGGTGCTGCTCTGGCTGGGTTTCCAAAGGATGTGGAGCGTTGTGGCTGCACTGAGCTCTTGTCTGTGGAGAAACAACTTTGTTTATGTGTGCTAGCACACCCCAAAACCCTGTCTGCTCTTGCTGGCATCCTTGGAGGGCTGGAGACAATGCCCTTTCCACGTGCCTGGCCCTGGCACACTCTTTTCTTGCCTAGTTTCTGGTAYACAGAAGACCCTCCCAACAAGGTCTGGAAGAGAGCTCTGTGGTGCCTCACTGCCTTCACGTCTCATTCCAGACTTCATCTGTAAACATCTCTTTGTCCTTGCTAAAAACATTGTGTCTCTTAATTTCTCTCTGCAAGAGTATTATTTAATTTGTAACAGTTTTAGGACATTATTTGAAAAATCCTATATGAAGCTGTATTTCATTTACTGTAATGATCCACTAATGCAGGCATATTTCAAAGGCAGGCGATGCAGTATGTGGCAGGTGATGTGGGGTTTAATTAAATTTTGTTTTTCAAGTAAGCATCAATAGACAGACAACAATAAATGGTGGACAATATGCATACAGAACAAAGTCTCTGCATTTTCCTTTTCAAGATTGGGGAAGTGAGAATGTATAGCCCTTAAAATGGACTTGGCCTGCTCACAACTGCTGCTTTAGTGTAGTTAACTCACTTTAGGAGGAGTTTTTTCTTCTTACTTGGCTTTAATTAATTGTCTTGCTCTCTTCCTGCCCACAAAATAAACTGTTACACTGTGGAAAATTTCCAGAAGGAGCTGTGGATGATCTAAGTGCTTCTGCAAGTTCTGAACTTAGTTTGGAATACTGTGTTGTTATCTAGTATGTGATGGCTCCTCCAGATGGGTCCTCCTCAGGGTGACAGAACCGAAGGGCTGGGTGTGAGGTTCCTGTGTGTGGGAACTGGACATGGCATGTGCCAGC